TAAAACATGATGGGCATGATTACAGCATAAACAATGTGGTCAACATGAAGGCAGTAATCAAACTACAATTGAAAGGATATTGGCCTTCAAATTCAGCTGGAATTGTGAACCTTACTGGATCAAAACCTGGCCTCAAGCTAAAACCACTGTCTCAGTTGTGATAACAGAGCAACGTCATAGAATGGGAAATGCTAGATAGGATGAAGTACGATGGAGTGCATTCTTTTCAACCGTTAGACTTGCAGGGAACATCTGGCATAAATCATGAAACGGAGAGCTAATGATGCTTTAGCGAAGATGTTCTGGGGTGGTCTCTAAATCGCAAGATTTATTTCTGACTATAAAAGCCGTACTTTTTATTTGCAGAGCTCAGTTGCAACATTTGGAATGATCTGCTTGGAGTTCAACGGAAACCCAATCATTCTGATCTACTAACCATGGTTTCACATACAAAACGTGTCATCGAAGTAAAACAAAGGACACAAAGGCTAATGTTCCACCTCATGACAAAAATAGCGTGTGGTATATCCCTATAAAAGTCCTCACTGTTTTAAATGCAAATCTAGAAAGGATGAATTCTGCATTTTCTTCATCTTGCATGATATTTTTCCACTAAGTCATGCTCCAGAATATCAAACTTTCAATGTCACCCGTGCAATTCTGACAACGATGCGCAGAAGTTTTGGTACACCGATAAATATGCAACCATTTAAATGTAATGACATTAAGGCAATTTGAATACCCCGGTTAAGTAATTAACAGATATAAAAATCATATGCAGCACGTACCGCTGCTGTATTATTGTCCATCCACTTGGGCTCTGATCCATATCGCATACCACAGTTAATAGAGAGTTATCCATAGAAATCTTGTACACGCCGGTTTTGCCTTCAGGTTTGAGATGCAGAACCTCTAAACAGCTTTTGGGCACAGATGGTGGCTTAGTGGAAAACTCTGGCGGAGATGAAGAACTGGTAGATTCCGAGGTTTTGGCAGAAATCGTCGAAGATGTCACAAGCACTGTTTCCTTGGAAGAAGGGCCAGGTGTAGAACCAGTGTGATTGAAATGTCC